ACATATTTAAACAAAGAATAAAATAAAATATTATATATGTCACCTTTTAATATAAAGTAAGGCCTGCTTAGGAGTTTCTGCAATACCAGTTATGAATGTTTTTTAAAGTAATGGTTTTGAACATTTATGAGCGGATCGATTTTGAAGGGTTTTATTAGCGATTTTTAAAAGGAAAATTTTAATAAATGTCACTAAATTTGAAAATGCATAAAAAAAATTTCATTTGCAATATGGATGGTCAAAAATGTCACTTTTTTGTTTTGAGAGGTCCATATTACTCTTAGTGACACCTTTTTACAAGCATTTAATGTTTGATTTGAATGTCATTAATGTTGTGATGTGATATTTTTTTTTTTGTATATTATAAATATTAGAGATATGATTATTATATTGGGTAACATGAATTTTGATTTAAAAAAAAAAAGAAATTGAAAAAGTTAAAAATAGACAAAACTTCTTACCATTCACAAACCTTAACTCCTTATCCATCTTCTTCATTCCATCATCAAGAATACATTAATATTGTATTCATCATCCATTTTTCAGAGGTTAGCTATTAGAAATTATTTATATTTTCATCTGATAGATTACTATTTTAAATATTAAACAGAACATTGTCATATTTATTTAAAATTTTTGAAACTCTAATTCATTGATTTGTTTGATTTCTGATATATTTTTGAAGGAAAATATACCAACATCCTTTAGAAAATGTGAAGGATTCCATATTTAATGAAGTATTGAGTAATTCCTTATTTATTTTTGGAAAGATGTTGTGATGTTATAGTTGAGAATTGATTATCACCATTAGTGTTTTGAATAATTTACTCCAAAGTACCAAATTCATATTTTTAAGCTTTTCGACAGTTTTGACAGTTCAACTATTGAATTCAGCATTTCGAAATCGTCAAATTAGGCATCTCAACTGTCGAACGAGATATTTAGAAACTATCGAGATAGATAATTTAACTGTTGGGATTCTACCATTCATTTCACCTTTTGCTATTAAATGAATTTAAATATTCGAAAGCGTCACTTTCAAGTTATTAAATGTTGACATATTAATTGTGCAAAGTTCTTACCATTGCAATATCAACTTTTTAGGTATTAATAATCATTTTATATTCAACGTGTTGTGTGTGGGGAAAATTTGTTTATATGGATGACGAATGGAAGTGGAGAGTAGACAAAATATTACCCTATGCACTCACTATGGTAGAGTTGGCTATAATCGGACCACGTGTTCTAACCCCATTCTAACACAACTCATGTAAATAGGCTTGATGTCCAAAAGTAATTGAAGTCGTATTTTGAATGTCCTCCCAATAATGTTGTACATTCTGAAGTTATTCTATCATTTTCATTTTGTTATCGTTTGCAAACATTATTCGTGTTTAAGTTTACAAGAAAAATAATTACATAGGCAAAAATTGCATACCATCCCGATAGAACGTTTCTATCATTCTCGACAAGTGGTTGCAAAGTAGAAAATTTGACTACAAAAAGATATATAAGGGACATTCTGTTCCCACACATTCTCAACTTATATTATCATTTTTAATTTACATTATTATTAGCATTTCATTATCATTTGTAGACATTGCATAATATCCTAACAGTTAAATTATCAGTCCCGACAGAAGGTTTCTGTCATTCTCGACAGTTGGTTGCAAAGCAGAAAATGTAACTACAAATAAAATGCATAAGGGATAAGTTGTTGCAAAACATTTGGTAAAGACATTACCATATTTATCTTGACAAAACTATAATACATAACTCAACAATGTTTCTTATGTTTATCGAACAATCCAACAAGTACGAGAAACAAAAAATGATGAAATGTGTAACCACATGTAGATGCAACCGTGAAATCGTGTTTATAATCACATTCTTCGAGGGAAGCAAAATGAGGTCATTTAGTATACTGTCACAAATCAATCCTAATGTAGTATTAACAAATTTCTTCATACTATTTCTTTACTTTTTTTCCTCCTCTCCTTAGTGTATGGAGTCCTAATAGATGATATAGGAAATTGAATGTGTTTCGATCACTGCCTCTTTGTATTAACAACATCGTTGCTTTCGACGGGTATGGTGGCCGCCTCCGTCACTCTACAAGCTTAGGTAACTTCCTTGTTGTCTAGGCATAGGATTTTGGGCTCTATGACTCCTCCATCTATTTGAAACATTTGCAACAGTAACCAACATGAGTTCAATATTTCTAGCTTGCAAACTATGGAATGAGATGAGAGTATTTAAAATTTTGAATTCTTCATAATTAATGCATATATCACTCACCTCTTGGTTCTCACTAGGCAATAGACCCTCATGATCGTCCGAGTACAGGTTGATGCCTCCTCCATCTAGTTAAAAACAACAATCACAATACTTATAGACATGAATTCAATATTTCTAGTTTACATATCACAAAATGAGACGAGAATATTTAAAATTTTAAATTCCTCAAATGTTAATGCGAAACACACATATAAGAAAGCAAAAAACAAATTATAATGTTCAAGAAGTACTGCCTTTAACTATTGAGAATGACAGTTCATATCGAAAGATGACTCATTTGTCGAAATTTAGTCATCTGTCAAGAATAACTGAAATGAACTGTAGGGAATGACAGTTTATCATAATAGATGGGTCACATAACTGATCTTTTGAAAAGTTCTCGTATGTCAAGAATTCATAACCGTACAGACTTTCATTGTTACAAATTAAACAGTTCGCTTAAAAGATTTGTAATAAACAAATGACAAGTATAATACAACAATTAGCTTCCACAAACCAAACGAATTCAGCGAATACGAAATACAGAACTCGAAATATTTTTTTATAAAAATATAAAAAAAAATTCATATATAACATCCACAAAAAATTTAGAAAAAAATCAAACCCCTCCACCAAAAAAAATAAACCCCAAAAAAATGGAGAAATCCCAATTACCTGTCAATGTACACCCCAAACAAAGCCAAACCCAAAACGAAGAACAAACCAACTCACGGTCTAGATGTATGGAACTCAAAATTGATGGTGCAATCTAAGATAAAAAACTTGAAATAAAAGCTTCAATTGACCATAAAAAGAAACGCACATTTCGAAACATTACCTAAGATATACTTCTTCCTTCTGTATTGATGTAATAAACGGGATTCTAATGTAAGAATTCGCACTCCATATAGTTTTCAAAGAATCAAGAAAGGAAACATTAAAAAAAAGTAAAATGATAAAATTTGCAAAGAAGCGGGACCCCAATGCAAGGACTTGCACTCCATATATATATTGTAGGCACTTTGAAGTGCAATTGTGATATGATTGATTCTCAAATTTTCTTTACTTTTGTACAACATTTTTACGTTGTCAACTCAAGAATGTGTAGGGTATTTATATCCTGTGGGGAGACAAAAATGTCCAAAAATGACAATCTTGGAAAGATTTTGAAACAATGACATTTTTAAAATACAAAACCAAAAGTTGACATGCAGTGCAATTTCCTCTTTTTTCAAAAAAAATTAAAATTGTCCAACCTATTTTTGGAAGTTTATTGTCCATCGATTCTAAAAGTTTTTTAAATTAATAAAATTACAGATATGACTCGGACGATAATATAAGTTTATTGTTTGAAAAAAAGTAATACCAATGAAAATAAGTTTTGCAAATTTGAATTGAATGATTTTGACTGTTTATGTATTTGGGAAAGTGGGGGATATATTCAAATCGACAACTTGAAAGTCATATCATTTTAAAAGTTATAAATAAATAATTAAGTTTAAATAGTTTTTTATAAATAAAATTTAAAATAAGTAAATTGTTTATTTTAATTTTTAATTTTTTTTTCAAGTATGAGCGCCCGCTATTAAAATTAAAATTTGAATTTGAATTTATATATCTAATGTTGTTGAAAATTCTTAATCAAGATTCAAGAAATTCAACATGACGACTTGATCAAATCAAGCTCTAAACAATAATTTTGTCACGTTTTGGAGTTCCTCGAGTGATCAACAATTAATCTCCCACAATATGTTGAAAGTCTATAGCAATATTCATATTAATGGAGACTTGACTACAATTTTCAAGGAGACGCAATCGAACAATATTTGGAATCTTGATAGATCAAATCTTTTATAACGATCGACTATCTTTATGTATCCACACTCCTTACTTGGCTTGCACGGATTCCTGTTTTCATCCGTATTTCTTGTGTACCATGTATTGTATAATAAGTTTCATTATCTAATGGAAGTCATTTTTGTTTAACTAAGAGAACCAATCAAAAAAGTATAAGTAACATGTCGTAAATATTCTATGATGATCAAGTGCATTGAGATTTTGTCATGATAGCAGTGAACATAACATAACAGCTGGACAATAAAATAAAATAAAAATTGTATAATTTAGGCGAATTCAATATCGTGATTAGTTGTCCAAATAACTTTCAAGAGTTATGTTTGACATAACATGTACAAAAACTTTGACAATAAGATAAGATAAAGTATTTAATATATTTATATAATACAAAATATTCTTTTTTTCATTGAATATCTACTAACGACGCACTAATAAGCAAATAATATCAGTAAACCAGCGTCAAAAAATATTAAAGAACTACAAATTCACTTCATGACCCATTCAATGTAAAATCCATTCTTTTAATTTTAAATTGGTCCACTATTATCTTATACATACTATTTAGCACATTAGTATTTTATGAATATGATATGATCATTTTAAAGTTCTTATTTTATTGACTCCAAACTCATCCAACCAAAAAAAATTTTAAAAAAAAATAAAAAAATCTGAAGCCCCCCCCCCCCCCCCCCCCCCCAAAAAAAAATACAAAGAAAAAGAAGGAGAAGAAGAACTTTTTGTTACATTTTTTCCTATTTCAGCTTGAAAGTTTCTTTCTCCTTGATGGCTCACTTGAATATCATGTCCAGATTTTTAAAGCCTTAGCCATGTTTGGTTGAGTAGAATGGAGAAAAAAATTCAAAATCTTATCTATCAAGTTGAGGCTCCAATTCATTAGTATGTACCAAACGTGCCTTAAAATTTATGGCAGAAAACAAAGGAATGATCAATTGCAGGGTAACAAACCTGCCCCCAGATTCTGGAGCATCACCAGAAGGCAGATTATCATCATTCTCTTCCTACCAATATGTTTCAAGTAGTTTCACGGCAATTTCGCATATTTCACCGCTGTCACAAGTCTGGAGGTTCTTAATCTTCTGAAGACCCCCTGCATCATCAATCATCTGAGCAAAGACATTGACATCTTCAGTGTTACCTTGGTTCTTCTCAGCTTCTCCAACTTTCAGAACTTTCTCAAGGGCTTCCAAGCATAATATGATGAAAATTACTTGGTGGAAAAGGTGGGGACTAACTAGAAGATCGCACATTGGCTTTATTCAACCCTCGTGCACCAAGAACCTGCCACCAAGATGTAGCATTAATACTCAACTTAGATATACAATAAGCTATGAGAATATGACAATAGCTGTGAAAATTTTACTTGATTTGCTCATTAGTTCCATCAGTGACAGTAAGAATAGCAAGAGCAGCTGCACTCTGTAACTCAAATTCAGCATTTTGAAGCAGTTGGACAAGAGGTGAAATAATACCAGCCTCAATCACAGCCTGTGTATTAAGATGACATATCCTCAGCATCCATCATTTTAAGAGATAAACGGAAAACTTGAACTTACAAACAGAAACAAAAGTACAAACGTCAAATTCATCAAAACAAAAGTACCACTACGAGACAAAAATTGTGAAACATGACGAGAAAAATCTTCAGTCTTGATGTTCAAAACAATAATTGATTGGTGGAAACTTAAAAGGTTTTTCCTTTAACATCATTTCTCCCCCTTCTCCAATTGAAAGAAAAAAACAAAACAATTTCGTAGTAATTTGCATACCTGAATATAATCCTTAGACCGTTGAATGAGTTGTCTAATGATCGTAAAAATGTTGATCTTGGCTTGTTGCTCATAATTTTGGGTGGTCAACAAGTCACGCAGCAAAGGAAGAGCCCCATTATCAGCGATAACCTGGAAATCATTCAACAGAAGCAAGTTAGTAAAAAGGATAACACTGCTTAACATCCTTAATCATGGAGTTAGCATGGAAATTCTTACTCCCTCCATCCCTTTTATACAGGCTTACTTTTCGTATTTTCTTGTCTCAATTATATAGTCCTATTTCTTTATTGGGCTTGTTTTGTTTTGTTTGTTTACTAATATATCATTATTTAATTTGCCTAATTATAACTAATTTTTCCACTTGGCCTTGAAATTGTACAAATATAAATAAAGGTAAACTAGGAAAGTTATTGATGAAAAATGCTTTTTCAATAAGTTAAATAAGATTTCTTAATTCGTGTGAAAACAATAAGTCTATAAAAATGGGACGGAGAGAGTATTAGATTTCTTCTTGGAAGTGGTCAAAGAGTATTAGGGTTGATTTCCCAAAACGACAATGAGTAAAAAAGGATCATCCAAGAATTCGGTTGTCCCCTTATATTTCTACTATGCAAAAGTATTTTCTTAATCAAGGGGAATCCGTCTAGGACTCATTTGTGTATACTAGAAACCACACCCTTGGAATTTCCAAATGGCATTCTCCCATTTATGTAATTTTGAAAATGTCACCTATCTTTTATCTATTTTTTAAAATGAATTGTACTAAGTATCATTTAACATTACTATAAATTCTTCATTTTTGTTCATTGATTAATTAACATAATTGTTTTGTGACTTTTATTGTAGAAATTGAACACTCGTTTGAGTATGGGATTCCCGCTGAAGATAGAATTAAAGGTAGACCTTCAAAAATATGCTTCCTTCAAAAACTTGACTATATTTAAGAGATATTAGATGATGTTTGGGGGAGAAATGCTTTTGGTCACACAATTGAATGATGAGTGGAGACAAGCATTGGATACTTTGTCGGTCAAATTAGACTACATATGTTATATTTAATATTGCATATATTTTCACAGGGAAGATTTCAGAATATACACTATCAAGTTTATAGAACTTTTGCCGGTCGGATTAGACGTAAAACTTATATCTAATGATACGACTGAATGTTGGAGGAAGAAACTAGCTGCTGAAATTTTTACTATACATTTAGACCTATAATTGTTTTCTTTGTATATTTTTCAATTTTATGTGGTCGGAAAATATAGGATTTAGATGCTAATTTTGTCTAGATGTTAGTGCCTTGTATGATTTAGTCTTAAAACATGTGCATGGATGTTGATTTTTTGTTCAGTTAGTATTGATTTTTATGATTGATTATGGAACATATGTAAAGATATTGACAAGTGTTGCTATAAAATCTTGCTATGTTTTCCATTGTATGAATTTTTATTCAAACATTGAAGCAATCGAGGTTGAAAGGAGTTGTAGTTTTTACGATAGCTTGTATATTTATGCGATGGAAAAACGGATTATATTATTAACTATGCAAATTCATTCAGTTTGAAAAATGACAGTTATACGTTTTAAATGACAACATGTCGTTTTAGGTCACGGAGACTCGATTTCATTACAACACAAGTATTAGAACATGCTATGTTTTGTATACCCTAACTGATAGTCATACTTGTAAAATAATAACATGT